TTTGTCGTTTCTATTTCAAAACAGCGATCTGTTGGGTTTTGACCCATATCTATCCTACGTACATTAGGAACTCTAAAACAGTGGTGGCAGCCTGTCATTCTGTGCTTACTGTGTCAAATGAGCAAGTTAAGCTGGTGAGAACTTAAACTTGGAAATCAGAAGACCACTGGGCTCCCTGGGTGCAGCTGAAGTGGTGTAGTGTCAAGGTTCAAGGGTCTCTAGCTGGTGTGCGTTAGACTTGGTGTGATTCGAAGGCCCGTTTTGAGTCATGACCCTGCCACTTTCTAGCTCTTCATTTTCTCTAAACTTTATGTCCGTCACCTGAAAATTGAGAATAAGTGTATTGTCTTCTCAGACCTGCTGTGAAGAATTCAATGAGAAAGGAAATAAAAACTGCATAGTCCAGAGTTAGGACTCTGGACTGCCATCAATGGAAACTATTTGGGACCTAACATACACATTAAGAAACTAAAAAATAATGGAAAGGTGAAAAAGCCCTTGATTGTATTTCGTTAAGATGATTAAGCTTTACATGGGACGAGAATATTTGCAAATCTGAGGTTGGTATTTTGAGCCTCCATTAAAAAAAAAGTCCCTGTATGAAAGGCAAATTCATCTTATCTTTTCCTCTGTTACGTGTTTGACAGGGCCTTCAGACAGCTCTGGCCCATCAAGAATATTCTGATAACTGCACTTGCAGTGTTAGATAATGAACTTTACCGTCAGAGTGGACATTTAATTAACTATGGTGTCTTCCTTCCATGGAGACAGCGGCAGCTACTCAAGGGCCAGCATCTCCCTGACCACGGAATCCGCAGTGGTATGTGGGGCGGGAAAGCCCGAAGCTGGGTTTTTTTTCGAAATGGCATTTAAATGTACACCAGATCGACATTTATCATTTTAATCTAAACTCTACCGTAAATGAACATGTGTGGCCTCTGAGATCATACACTTTGCTAGGAGGTTCATGTGACCTGGCAGCTCCTGCCTGAAACATCATTTGTTCCATTCTCCAGCAAAAGCAGGCATCTAACAAGTCAAAACTATTTTCAGTAACGAGTCCTGGTCTCTTTTAAAACTGGAGTTCCCAATGTCTTTTCTTCTGCACCCATTTCATTGACTCAGAATCGCACCCATCAGAGAGAAAAGCTTCCCCATTAGGAATGCTCAGTTGTTGGTCATTTTTCTTAAAACTAAGTCATGGCAATGAGTGTTTAAGTGACTTGTCATTCTCAAAACTGTTCCTAAAAGGCATCTGATCCTTGGTACTGCAACATGTAAAACTACCTGTCAGACAGGTGACAGCCTTATAAATAGAGGACTGGAGCCATATAAGGGTGCACCTAGGTGGTGCTAATGAAAACATTGCTCAGAAAGGCATCCATGAACCCAGAGCCCTGGCCTTTTTGCTGGTATCATTTCCTTCTCTTTCCCCTGCTGCTTGCGTTTCTTCTCTCTCTTCCCTCCGTCCTTCTGACCAATCTGTTGAGTGAAATCTCAGCATCGCATATTCCTTGGCAGAGTAATTTTTGAATGCCAACACCAAAAATTAGAATTAGTTTAAAGAACTGGGACTTCCACAAAATAGGGAATTCTGGTGTAAGTTGAACATTTACCTATAATTTAAAGTGTGCACCAGCATGTTGTAGCCTTGGGCCTGTCCCTGGAGGAAAGACACTGTTTAGTTCGCAAATGATATCTGTGTATGGCTGAACATTGGTAAAGGGAGAACGTAGATAACTTTGCAGACTTCTGTGAATTGCCCTAAGTACCTGAGAGGGAAGGAACTTGAAAAGGACACCCTTGGTCTTATGAGACCACAGACTTACCTCTTACTAAATTATGAGCATGTTAGAAGTGGTGGAACTTTAGCTGTCTGTGTTTATGGATTCTATTAGTGTTTTGATGTATTTTGTGTTAATATTCCTGAAAACATACAGCAAGATGACCTCTGTAACTGAGGCAAACCTAATATGATTTGGAGAATGCTTTGGCCAAGTCCTGTAACTGATACTGTGCTCTCCCGCATCAGAGGTGATCTGTCTGGCAAGTTTTAAGTTGTTCATGTAATAAAAACAAATGGATAGATTTTATGAATGCATTGAAAACAGATCCCCATATATTTAGAAAGGGGATGAAAAGCTTTAATTCTTTCATTTTATTTTTTTTCTTTTTGCAGATCTAAAACTTGGACCTGATCCTCTGGGTATTAATGAAGCTTTTCAGTTTATTTAGTTTATTTACCCAGATTCAAAGGGCCAGACTTTCTTAGGATAAGTGTTGTTTATGGGTTGAGCATCCTGCTTCTCCCCTCTATTTCCTGGGTGAATTTTACCCAGCACCCACATTTCATCGCATGAATTAAACCACATCAGCTCGTGTGCTGCTGTTCAAACTCCAAAGGTTTTTAACTGAGCGCTTAAATAGGGGGGCTGTACCTGAAGGCGGGCCCCATGAAACTGCTCTTCTCCGCGTTTGAATTTGAATTTTTCATACATGTGACATGTTTGGGACCTGGTAGCTTCTGTCAAGACAGGTCTTGCAGAAATGTATGCCTCTTGAAAAGGGTTTGTTGGTATTTCCACGCTGTTGCTTGGAAAGGGTTTCTGTGCCGGTCTTGGTGCTGCCCAGGCTGCTCCGTGAGCTCATGATGCCCTCCCTGTTCATTTGAGGTACTTTCTTCCTTAGGACTTTTGAGGGAAAACCCAAGACAGCCCACAACAATCTCTATTTTGGTCTTATTTTTAATATAGCCGTGGGTAGTATGACAGTTGTTAGCACTTGCCACCAACCCCAAATTATATAATGTGCCATGAAAATAAAAATCTCTATGCCAACTCCTTCCCACTCTCAGAGGGGATAAGAAATCACGGAGAGCATAAAACTGACTATGCATACCTGTGACCATCTTAAAATAACCTCACTCTCAAAAGAAATTTTGTTTCTCTTTCCCAAGCAACTAACTGCCCCGCTGTGTCCCTGCTGTGTGCGGATTTGGCCCTTTGGGAGGTAAAAACGCTTACTTGTAGGGAACTGGGTGTAGGACCTTGGTGTTACGGGGAACTTAATAGCAGCCCAGGGGCCTGACAGAGTTAATGTAGCATCCACGTCACCTGAACTATCAGGAGCTTGGTGGAAGAGATGAATTACACTGGCTTCCATTCAGAGAAATGAAAATCTGGGGTAATTTGAAGTTTCCCAAAATGTAGGAAAATGGGCTGGGCACGGTGGCTCACACCTGTAATACCAGCATTTTGGGAGGCCGAGGTGGGCGGGTCACTTGAGGTCAGGAGTTTGAGACCAGCCTGGCCAATATGGTGAAACCCTGTCTCTACTCAAAATACAAAAACTAGCCGAACATGGTGGCGAGGCGCCTGTAGCCCCAGCTACTCGGGAGGCTGAGGCAGGAGAGTGGCTTGAACCTGGGACGTGGAAGTTGCAGTGAACCGAGATCGTGCCACCGCGCTCCAGCTTGGGAGACAGAGCGAGACTCCTTCTCAAAAAAAAAAAAAAAAAAAAAAAGAAAAAAAAAGCAGGAAAATTATTTGGGGCCAACACAGGAAAAGGGTTTATATTTTTGTCTCCTACCCCCTTTTTCCCCTTTCTCTCTTCTTATTTCTTCATTATTGCAAATGCTCTGTTATTTTTAAAAGTATGCCTTTCCCGGCCTGGTGCGGTGGCTCAAGCCTGTAATCTCAACATTTTGGGAGGCTGAGGCAGGCGGATTGCCTGAGGTCAGGAGTTTGAGACCATCCTGGCTAACATGGTGAAACCCCTCTCTACTAAAAATACAAAAATTAGCCGAGCGTGGTGGTACATGCCTGTAGTCCCAGTTACTCAGGAGGCTGAGGCAGGAGAATCACTTGAACCTGGGAGACGGAGATTGCAGTGAGCTGAGATCGTGCCACTGCACTCCAGCCTGGGTAACACAGCAAGATTCCGTCTCAGTAAAAAAACAAAACAAAAAATTATCTCCCTGACCTACACACACATATATGCCTAGAGCCGTAGATTTCTGGAAGAGTTAATACAGGTGTATTCTGGCAAGGGACCACGTGACCTTAGGGTTCTTGGGACTTCATAGCACAGTGCGGATGTGTCACTTAGCAGTGACTGAAGGACACGTTTCTTTTTCCTAAGCCTCTTTACTCTAATAACCAATTGAATCCTTCACACACACCTGCTATTAAGAAAGCACTTCCATATTTTTTTTTTTCCCAAGCCAAACTGTACCTAGCTTTATTAAAGATACTTTCCGTAAGCAATCACAGTATTTCAGGCAGGACATGGGCACACAGTTGTTAACAGTATACAGCAACTTTCAAACTCCCTTCTTTGGACTACCAATAATCAGAAAGCCATGATGAAAGCCAATAAGTCTTCATCTGATGCTCTGAACAGGGAAAGTTTAGAGTTGACATTTTGCACTTAGCATGTTGTTGAACAACTTTTCACAAGCCGACCCTGACTTTCAGGAAGTGGAATGAAAATGGCAGAATTTATCTGAAGATCCACAATCTAGAAATGGAACCTTTGCTCTTTGAGGGGTGCCGTGTCAGTGCCATCACTGAAAAGTCCAGATTGCGTGACATACTGGTAACCAGTGGCTGGGGATCATGTCCCAACAGATGTCTGGCTTTAAGGGAGTTAAGCCTATGCTGAAAGGTGGAAAGGGAGAAGGGGACATAAAAACAATTTGTTTTTCCCTCCCACAAGGTTTTTATGCCAAGGTGGACATGTGTGTCAAGGTTAGGGAATCCCTTCTCCAGGGAGCCAAGAGGAAGTCTCTCCGAACTAGAAGGGAAAGGGAAAGGTGTTTTCCCCACGTCAGTCCAGCTTCAGAGACATTGTATTAGGGACATATGTCCTGTCCTCCAAAAACAATGAAGTGTTCTGTGTGCTAACAACATAGCTTAAGAAAAAGTAAAACAAAATTCTGCATTTTTATAAAACTTGATAAAAAATAGTATTTCAAACTGTACAGTCATCAGAAGTACACAGTTAACAAAAATGCAGACACTTCACTTGGCATCTCCAGCACCTTCAGCTTTCTGGGCCTGGTCTTTATTGGCAACTCCATTTTCTGTAGGGTTATTCCCCTCCTTACGAGCATCAGCTTTTCCCTTTTTCCCTTTGGGTACCTTCTCAGGGGCCTTTTTAGGCTTGGGCTCTGGCTTTGGAGGAGCAGGTTTAGCAGACAACCTCACAGATCTTCTCTGTGGTTCGTCCTTCACCTTGGCTTTATCTCTTTTAGCATCCCCTTCGGCCTTTCTCTTGAGCATGGTGGCAGCAACAGCAGTGGGTCATAGGTGCTGGGCATAGGATGCAGTGGCGTGCGTCGGTCCGGGGGTCGTTCTCGCCTCTTCTTCTTCACACTGCTCCACACTTCTGTATTTCTTACTCACCAGAGATGCAGACATCATATGGTCATCCCTGGCATTCCATGGGCTTTATTTATTTATTTTTGAGACAGCGTCTCACTCTGTCGCCCAGGCTGGAGTGCGGTGGTATGATCTCGACTCACTGCAGCCTCCACCTTTCAGGTTCAAGCAATTCTCCTTCCTCAGCCTCCTGAGTGAGTAGCTGGGATTACAGGCTCCTGCCACCATGCTCAGCTAATTTTTGTATTTTTAGTAGAGATGGCATTTCACTATGTTGGCCAGGCTGGTCTTGAACTCCTGACCTCAGGTGATCCGCCTGCCTCAGCCTTCCAAAGTGCTGGGATTACAAATGTGAGCCACTGCACCCGGCCCTATTTATTATCATTATTTTTAACTGAATGTCTCTTCTCTCTTGGCCAGGCTGGGATGCATGATCTCATGTGGGCACCATCTCCTGGTGCCCAGATATGCACCTCTACAGTGATGGTAGCAGCACCTTCTTCATAGGGAGAACACGTTTCTAGCCCATAGATTCTTCTGACACTGAGTAAATGTCAGGCATCCTTATAGTTATTAGTTGAAAGAATGTTGGTTGGGATTAGAAGTATATTTAATTAAAAAAATTTAATGTTAATTATTATGGGTACATAATAGGTATATATATTTATGAAGTACAAGTGATGTTTTGCTACAGGTGTACAATATGTAATAATCACATCAGGGTAATTGAGGTATCCATCTCAAGTATTTGTCATTTCTTTGTGTTAAGAACATTCTGATTCCACCCTTTTCGTTATTTAAAATATATAATAAGTTATTGTTCACTTTAGTCACCCTGTTTTGCTATCAAATACTAGATCTTATTCATTCTATCTAACTGTGTTTTTGCTCCCATAACCACAGAACTGTATTCTGTGGTCATATAACCAAATAAAGCTAAGTAGGTCACCGAACAGTTGAGCCCAAATCTTATTCCTCGACAACTGAAGATACTTGGCTGGCTTCCTGCTTATAATAACAGTGGGCACAGTCTTCTGGGGCCCAGATATGCACAGTGAGGCATAATGCATTTGCAGAAAAAGGGTTGGTTTCCAGAAAGAGTCCATGATATTATCATAGATGGCAGATGAAATTCCTGTCATGCAGTGAATAGTGACGTAAAATCTCCCCTGTCATTGTTTGTGGGAGTCTTCAGCATCTGGCACATCTTTTTGTCCTTCACAAGCTCTGTGTCTGTCTTTATTGGTTCCATTTTCTTTTATTCCTTTTCTTGGGCTCCTGTTTCCTGGATGTCCAGGGCTTTACACCCTGGAGCTAAGTGCTAGGGTGGCCACTTTCTGGATCTTGCTTTAACATTCCCCATACTGGTGCACCGCCCACAATGGGTCATCTAGTGTTTTTCAGCTTACCCGCAATGCTCACGATCATGTCACAGACTGTGCAAACCTAAGCCATCCCACCTGGTCTCTGTGCTCCTTTTCCTGGACTAAAGAGAGCAAGCGGAGGAAAGAGCAGAGCTGGGTGAGCTAGCTGGTAGAAAAGGTGCTTAGCTTTGGGGAAACTTAGGTGCTCTAGAACTTTATTTCTTGTTGCTGTGTCTCATGCACCTGATATTGGCTATTCGAAACATTTTCTACCTTCCTCAGGACTGCTCTCCTGCCTTTGGCCCATCGCCTCCATTCTATTCCTGGTGTGCTGTTCATGTCTGGACTATGGTAATGGCCTTCAGACTTTCTGTTCTCCAGTCTGTCCTTCACGCTGCTGCCTTGTTAATCTTCTTGAAATGCTCCCAAGATTACCTTCCTGCTCAGACCGTAGCTCCTCGTCGACAACACCGTCCAGATGTCTTGATAGGACCCCTTGAGCTACCTTGCAACTTGGCACCTATGAGAACTCTCTCACACTGCTGAACTTGCCTCACCTGAGCAGATCTTGTGCTGTGGTTCGCTGGTACCCACATCTGGTCCCAGCACTCTGCATGTATGCCTTGCCCCTTGTTTTCGGCCTCAGTCCAGTCTCACTCCTGGCAGGAGACTTTCTGGCAAAAGAGTGTGGATAAGGGTTGATAGGCTATGCAAGTTGTTATTTACTTATTATTTATTTCAGCCAACCCTGTAGTAAGTCCTTAATAATCTTTACTACTGCTTTTCCTACTATGGTGATAATTATAGAAGAAGACTGAGACTTGCAGAAGATGAATAGCCTTCCAGAGTTTGCATCTCTAGTGGTAGAGGTGAGATTCAAATCTGAGTTTGACTGGTTTCCAAAGCTCACGCTGTTCTGGACTCTTGTCGTTCCCAAGCCACCACAGGCTCATTTGCCACCCATCAGAGCTGGGAGCCATTTTGCGCTGGGTATCTACTGTCCTCTGGGCAAACAATCACTGAATAAGTTGATGTTGCTTTTCAGGAACCCATTTACTAAAAGAAACAAAATGTGTCAGTTCCATTATTTATTCATTTAATTGCAAATCCCTCCTTTTCTCTCTGTCATTTAAAGTTAGTATATGCTCTACCTTAATTAAAAATAATATTTTGGAAACAGCTTAAAAACAGCTTAAGATAATTGCAACACTGTGGTATTCACAAAACCAAGTGTTGGCTTCCCGTGTTTTGTAGATGCTGTGCAGGGTATGTGTTTTTGACCTCTGTTCTGAATTACCTGGTTTATTATGGCTTTCTCTTCACACCATGTCTTGTCCTTTCTTGGACTTACCATGGTTTTAAAGTAGATGATTTTGTGGAAATAACGAATGCCCACTTCCCTCGCCTGTGCTGCTGACACTGCCTCTTGAATGCCTAGCATGATGCACACACATAATAGATATCCAACCAATTGGTAGCTGTTGAAGTTTGAATGAATGAATGAATGAAGGAAAATATGAATGAATGGAGATGCGCCTTTATTTGGGTATCCTATGCTGGATTTTTAGAAAAGTTGGTTATAAAAGGAATTTTTAAAGTTGAATTCTACTATAAAACTGAAAATTAATTTATTCATATGGAGATACTAACAGTAAACTTTGGAAACACTTGAAGAAAGGAATAAGACAGAGTTTGGTTCCTCTGTCTTTTTGTTACATAGAATTTTTTGTGAGATTCTTCCACTTACTACCCCATTTTTCCTTGGCAATATCTGTGGCTGCCTTCAGGCATCAGTTATGATTCTTGCTGTTATAATAAAACAAAGCCTTATATAAGAAAGATATGCATATTCCTGACATTTAATTCCTTTCACAGAAAAATAATGCTTGGTTTTATATATATATATGTATGTATGTATCCAAAAGAGGTATAGCCAGCATCTTGTAGCAAAGTAATCCGTAACTTACTGTTTTCTTGGTCAGTGTTCCTTCCTGTCAGACAAAGTTAAAATCTTTTGCAGTGGAAAAGCCGATGTTCATAACTACTGCCGATTGTACCCATTTTAGAGCAGGCTGTTTCCCTCCACCAGGAAGATGTCCAATTCCAGGGTATGGAATTTGTCTGTCTTTGTCAGTAGGCATCTCTTCATCTGATTTGTTGATTCTTCATTGTTCTGAAACCTCTTGTCCCAGAGGTTAGCTTCAGTTCCAGGAGACAAGGTTTTCCGAATAAAGTCCACTTCTGCCCTGCTGTGTTTCATTCGTTATTTTCACTGTCAGCTCAGAATGCTCACCTGGAAAATGCCAGTGCCCCGCCAGTTTTTCTGTAGTCCTCTCACTTTCTAATTGTGTGGCTTCAAGTACAGGACATTATGCTTTCATTCATTACAGTCTCTAGGCCACTTTCCTCCCAGGGCTTTCTGGTGCATATCAGCCAAAACATCAGTAATATCTTATTACAGCCCATGAGGTTTGTGTGGTCCTTAAATTTCCCGAGGTGCCAGACTTCCAGGAATTCTACTTTCCAAAACGTGGAGTTGCCTCTCAGTGAAAGCAAAGTCTTTCTTGATCCAACTCTTGGCTGCCCTGTAGTGACTGTGATGAACCGCAGATTTGTTCATGGATGCTGGCAGTTAACTTAGTTTTGTAGAAGGAGTTGGATTACATAAAGGCAAGGTGCCTTTATTTAGCTGGGGAAACAAAAGATTGTAGGGGGCCATGGTTAATCGTCTACCAATACTTAAAGAGCTATCGCATAGAAAAGCAGTTACTCTTAATGTAGGTGGCGTCAGAATGCAGCGCTAAGACGAATTGATAGGCTGGGCAAAAGTTAGAGGGAGGCCAATGTGGCGGGGTGGAGGGGACAGGATTTCTTGTGCATAGAGCAGTGTGAAAGGAGGGTGATGGCTTCAGACTTCCAGTTCTCAGAGACAGGGTGGGGGTGGGTGTTTCAGGTTAGGCTGGATGACTGCTGGTGGAGGGTGGAATGGGGACGTCATGCAAAGGATTCTTGCAAGGGATGGTTGCAATAGATAAGTAGATCATTTTAAAGATGGCTTCCAGCTCTGAAATCCCACAGTTTTATTATGCTAAGGTAAAGCATTTTAGGGCAGTTTCACTCTTTCCCTTTCCCTTTCTTTTTCCCTCTGTAATTGTGGAATCTAATTGTGTGTGCAGTTCATGCTAAAGAAGTCTTAATCACGTATTATTTTCTATCCTCTTACTTTGAAACGGTCAGACTTCTAGTTTAGTTGTGTTTGGACACTGTAGAGGGAGGCAGGGTGTCTGTGTACAGTTGTGCTGGCTGTTTACTGCACAAAGGACTGAAATAAGGGGCTAAACTTGAACACATACTCTGCTCACCAAGCTACCCAGAGGAAGAGTCTATCTTTCCAGTTTGCAGAAAGATGCCGTCAGCTCACCAAGCTGAGTGCCGGAGGGGCTGGGTCTCCCCAGAAGAGGCATAGTTTTCTAATATGTTAGATTAGATGATTCTAGTGTAATCTGAAGATGCTGGTCATGACTCTAGAGGGAGGCATAACGTATCATTTTTAGTTTATCAGGATTGACAA